TAACCTTGCTTGGGCTTTGGGTGAGGTCACCAAGGAATGACACTCGAGAGGTTAGTCCATGACTTCAAAAGATTTGCAAAAGATGAGGAGGTTGTAAAAATCAACAAGGTGGTGGTTCAGAGAGCAAACAACTTTAACCTGGGCATGGATGAGAATGACATTGAGTAGATCCTAGAGCTGGTACCTGAGGAGTTCACTAAGGAGAAGTTGTAGGAACTGGAATGATCTGCATAGCTAAAGAAGAGGCAAGAGAAAGGGAACCTGCAAGAGAAGAAGAAGAAGAAGAAGAACCTTGAAGAAAATTCACAGTGAAGGACTTAGCAGACACTTTTGCAGACCTTAAAGGAACCTGCAAGAGAAGAAGAAGAAGAAGAACCTTGAAGAAAATTACAGTGAAGGACTTAGCAGACACTTTTGCAGACCTTAACAAGATCCTATGGACCCCAACACCAAACGGTTTTCATTAATAGAAATGTCCATGGTGCATCATCTGTTTAAAGGCAAATCCATGACGACAAAAAGAAGCAAACCACCATGGACATATTTCTGAAAAGAGTGACACCTCCTCAAGAAGAGCCTCAGGCAGGTCCCTCAGGAGGCGTTCCAGAGGAAGCGGTCTATCCGTCGGTGGTCCTACGAGATGTTTCGAAATGAACGTGCAATCCGATTTGTTGTCATGGTCACACCTGAAGACCTTAAAGCCAATGCAGGTGAGTTATTTGCATTAAGAAAGCATCACTCTAGAGCAGCCGTGGGCAAGGATCCGGCCCTTTTGAAATGAATAAAACTAAAAAAAAAAAGACCGTACCCTTTTATGTAATGATGTTTACTTTGAATTTATATTAGTTCACACAAACACTCCATCCATGCTTTTGTTCCGGCCCTCCGGTCCAGTTTAAGAACCCATTGTGGCCCTCGAGTGAAAAAGTTTGCCCACCCCTGGCCTAGGATAAAGTGTGTGTTTGTGTCTTAGTTTTTAACCAAAAAGTTTAAAAAGTTAAAAAAAATTAAAGGTAGAATAGGATCTAAAAATATTCTTGCACAGCTGTATAATATATTTATTTTTTAAGCTAATTGTTAATAAAAAAGAGTAAACAAGTTTTTTAAAAATTAAAGTTTTAAAGTAAAGATGTTATGTAAGTTTATTATTGAAGAAAGAAAAATATTTTTATAAATTTATTGTAACCTGTGTACAGTATTTATGAAGTCTACAATAGTATACAGTAAGTAATGTCCTAAGCTTTCACATTCACTCACCACTCACTCACTGACTCATGCAGAGCAACTTCTGATCCTGCGAACTTCATTCATGATAAGTGCCCTCTATAGGCATACCATTTTTATCATTTGTGTTTATATTGTACCTTTTCTATGTTTAGATATGTTTTGATACACAAATACGTACTATTGTATTACAATTGCCTACAGGAGTCAGTATAGTAACATGCTGTACTGGCTTGTAGCCCGGGAGCAATGGGCTATAGTATAGCCGTTATACCATACAGCCTAGGTGTGTAGTAGGCAATATCATCTTGGCTGGCATAAGTGCTCTCTGTGATGTTCGCACAGCGAAATTGCCTACTGGCACATTTCTCAGGATGTATCTGTTCGTTAGTGAAGCACGACAGTACTGAGAGTTGGATACCATTGTTATCAACATTCTTAAGTGCCTGCAATTCCTAGAATCACAGATGTTTATGGCTGGAAAAGTCCCAGAGAGGTTACCTGGTCCAGCCCAATCAAAGAAGTAATTGAGACACAGGTGTGATTTGCTCAAGGTCAGCAGTTAACCTGGGCCTGGGATTAGTTGTTTCGATTTCCTGCCCAGTGCTCTTTCGCCGCATCCCACCGCTCCCTTATTGCTCAGGCTAATTTATTGCAGGTCCTGTTTCTAATTGTTTATGTTCACCTGACACTCTCTTCAGGGTAAGATTACATTTTCCCATATTACTTCCCCGTCTTCTCCCCTCTCCCCCAATCCTGAAGAGTTGCTGCTGCGGAGTCTCCAGCTGAAACCAGTTAAAAGGAACTTCCTGCCAAGTGACTTTTACCCAGGCAGCAGGTCTGAGGAGCTGGGCATGAAGGAGAGTCTTGGTTGTATTCTTCCTGAGATGTGTTACACATCAGCCTTGAGCTAATTTTCTCAGGCTCAAAACTGTGTCCAAGTTACTCTGTAAACACTCAATCACAAAGTGTCACACTTAGAGATTTAGAATGTAATCCCGTGGTTCTCTAACTGTGCTCCAAGGAACCTTAGATTTCCTCAGGGGGTGCCTTCCATTCAACTTCTAAAAGCAGGTGGGCTGGGGAGCTGAGCACACCCAGAAGTGGGCCTTCATCCCCTCCATGAGTGATTTTATTCAGTTGGGGGGTTCTGTATAAGATTGCTTGTGAAGAAAGTTTTGATGCTATAAAATGTTTACAACTAGTCCAGCTCTCTCATGTTAAAGAAGGAGAAAATTAAGGTTCAGAAGAGCTGTAATCACTCTGCACAAAGCTGCCAACTAGTTAGTCAGCTGACTCCCCCCGAGCACCTGGCAGAGGTGGCCAGGCCCCTCTGAGAAGCTGTATTTTTGGCTTGGTCTCGCGATTATTGGAACCAGCTCTCTAGTGGCTGCTCATCTGGGAAAGGAAAGGGACAAAAATCAATACTCATTGAGTAACTACTCCATGGAAGACACTGGAAGCATAGACATTCACTCATTCAGAGCAGATTTATTGAGCACTTCTTATGTGCCAACCACTCCGAACAGGTACTACCCCTGCCTATGCCACAGATTCTTTCATTTAAACCTCAAACCAAGGCAGCAGGAAAAGATGTAATGTAAGCATGTCAAACTCAAAGGCTAACATGGACCAAATAAATGAGGCATGCGGCCCTTGAGCCACGAGTTTGACATGCTTAATGCTTATGTGTTTCAGAGGTGAAGACTCCAAGAGGGTAAGTGACTTATAGGGTAGCCCAGCTGGTAAGTGGCAGAGCCACATCCGAACTGACATCTATTGAACTCCAGATCTGTACCCTAATACACTTGTTTTTTTTAAAATAAAGATTTTAAAACATATGTTTTCTTGATTTTTAGAAAGAGAGGAAGGGAGAAACATTCATGTGAGAGAGAAACATCAATCAGTTGCCTCCCACAAGCAAACCCTACCGGGATGGAACCCGAAACCTAGGTATGGTCCCTGACCTGCACTCAAACCGGCCATGGGGCGAAGCTCAGCCAACTGAGTCACACTGGCCAGGGCTACAGCCGTTATTTTTTAAAGGCTCAGGAAGTCAGCAGCTGCCAGTTAGTTACATGTGAGCCTTCCAAATACTTGAAACTCAGTCAAACAAACAAACAAAAACCTTGGATTTTCTGCTATCTATTTGGAAAGTGGTAAATCTCCCTCCACGTCTTCATTCGGTGGAGTTCCCTCACGGTTCTGATCTGTCTTCCAAGTCAGACTCTCATGATTCACCCACAGGCAGCCCAGCCCGCCCCCTGCTCGCAGTGGAGAACATTGCTCATCCAGCTGCTTGGTGTCAGGCTGGGCCTTGGAGCAGCTGTCCCTCGGGGGATTTGGGCGAGGCCAAGCACAGTGCACGTGAGTCTGAGTGATGGAGAGATAACAGCCATGTGCTGGGGAGGGAGAAAGTGTTTGTGTGCGTAGGGGGCTAACCTTCGGCGGTGCAAGAAGTTACCAGCTGTCCTTGTCTTTCAAAAGACAGTAAGTCTCCAAAGAGTGCCAGCAACTTCGGAAGATACTTCTGCTGAATTTGTCCAATCATATTGAGGCTTCTCCCTGCTGGACCCTCAGCCTCTAGTCATCTAAATATTCCTCACTGAGATCAGGAGTCGTTCTGAATAAATTGGGCTATGTGGGTGCCCAGAGGGGAGGGGATGATGAAGAGAATGGGAAGAGAAGCACAGGGTTTGTGCCGGCTCTACTGGGAGATGTGATGGTTGCCATCTTTTGAACATTCGTTTTCCAACTTCGGAACTGGAATCTATTTACCCTGCTTTCAGGGGATGTTGTTAAAGTTGGTGGGAGTGATGGTTTGATGGGGACTGGGTCACGGCCATGTGGTCTGAATATTAAGGCTTGTCCTTGAGGCTTGCTTTACAAGCTATAGAAGTAAACATGTCCCTTGAAAATTAAATCATGCATCTTTATGAAAATATTTATACTTAAATAAACTTAAATAGTAAGCTGAAAAAATTATTCCAAGTGAGCACTAAAAATTATGAAGAAATTCAGACCACAGCATCTTTTGGCATCATTTTCATTAATTTTTGACTAGTTAGTAACTTATGATTCTATTCTTTCCCACTGGAAAGAGGTAATTTTCTAAATTACTTCTTTAAAAAATATATATGTATATATTATATTGATTTCAGAGAGGAAGAAAGAAAGAGAGAGAGAAACATTAATGATGAGAGAGAATCATTGATCAGCTGCCTCCTGCGTGCCCCACACTGGGGATGGAGTCCGAAACCTAGGCATGTACCCTGACCGGGAATTGAACCATGACCTCCTGGTTCATAGGTCGATGCTCAACCACTGAGCCACACTGGGCAGGCCTATATTCTTCTACAAAAGAATAAAGCACCTTCTTCCCCCAAGCAGCTCAGCTCCATTTTTTTAGCAAAGACACATGACCTTCAACAAAATCCCTCTGGGCAGGACCTCAGTGCCTTGGGCGGGGTGGAGGGGCGGGGGAGGGGTCCGTGGCCCTGGACAGCAGAAGGTGGTTGGAACTGCTGTGGTTTGGCAGCAGAAGTAGTTGCTACTCTCCTGCCCCCATCCCTTGTCACATCTGTGAGCACACCCCTGCCCCCCACCCTGATCCCAGGCCAGGCTCTGTAACTCTGTGGACACCTACTGGAAACCGGGGCAGGGACCAGCGGGTCCGTGATTTGTGAGCACCAGTGGAGGAGGAGAGGGAGTGCACAGTGCAAACAACATTCTGCATTTCCGTGCCGCGCTCTGCCTTGCCTTTTCTCACCGGAGGGTGCTGGCTAGAATCCGGACCCGGGTAAAGCAGGTCGTCCACCGGAGCGACAGCTGCCACTTGGCAGTGCTGGCATGCACTGCAGGGTCCTCCCCTGGCCTCCTGCTGCAATGGCGGTGAAGCAAGCCTGGGCCAGCGTAACCCCCCGCACGGCTGTCCTTTAGGCCAGGATACACGGGCGGGTTTGTCTCTGTTTGTTTTTAAAAGGAGTCCATCTCTATGCCTCTGGTGCTTCTTTGGCTTCTCTGCCATGGATTTCTCTTTCCAGGAGAGCTCTCGGGCCGCATTTCTCACCACTCTCTTAAGACTTTAGAGATGTGAACTGGCGGCAACTGGTGCCGTTCTCAGTTCTCAGTGTTTGGTACCCAGCCAGGCTCCTGACTCCTGGGAACAGCCTTATTTAGCGCTAGGAGATTTGGGTCAGAGGCTCCCGAGAAGCCGGTGCAGGGAGAGACAGGAACAATCACCGCCCAGTCACAGCTGGCAGCCAAAAGGACCGAAGGGGAAGACTCAGCCGACAGAGGAGAGTCCCTTCAAGCAGCCTTGGACCAGCTTTCCGAGGAGGCTGTTTTCTTCCCCAACTGCTCTGCATCTGCCTGGGTGGCAGCCAGAGGCTGGGAACAGCATGGCTGGTATGCTCTGGGTGAGGCTGGTGGCCATGGCAACTGGAGGGGAGTGACTGTCCCTGAGGATGAGAACAGCGGGTAAGATTCCGATTAGGGAGAGGCGGGGAGGAGAGGTAAAGGCTGGACCTGCCTGGAGAAGGGCCGTCTTATTGTGGACAAAACCGAGGGCAGAGCAGCGGTTAAGGCCTGTCTCAGACTCGGATTGTGGCTCAGACTTAGACTCCTCCCCTCCAATAAGCAGGGAGCTTGTTAGACCTCAAGACTGTCATCACCCCCGTGGCTGTTCCCATCAAACAGTAAATTAACGGAGAACCACCCACCTCCTGTGGGCTCACCCTTGTTGAAATGTTTCTGTGAAAGACACTCTCCAACAACACGGTGCCCAGTAAGAGAAGGCATGTTATCTCCTTGGACCCATTCTGCAGTAAGTCTCGTTCTCATGCTGGTGTGAAGGGGAAGGGTGAAGCCCACCCTGCCCAGAGATGTGGTGCATGTGGGAAGCCTGCGATTTGAGCTCTGGGCTCAGGTTCAAGGGTGTGAGTTCTAATCCCAGCAATGCCATGCCCCCTCCCATGACCCTCTGTGCCTCGTTTTCTTCATTCATAACACGAAGGTGGCCTGGTACTCTACAGGGCCTCTCCAGTTCTGACTTTCTGTACGTCTATAGACATAGGATAAAAGACTATAAGGCACTTTTATTGGTTCAGTCTTCTTCATTTTCTATTTTCATTTCCTTGAAGCCATCAGCTGGAGTTGAGGACAAGTTTTTAAAATAGACAGGTTTCTTTTTCTACCTTCACCCCCTGCCTCCCTCCTCTTTTCCTTCCTTTCTTCCTAACTGTTGCAAAAGTCATCCAGCCTAACCTCTGGAAGGCAGTGTGTGAAGCCATTTCTCTTTCGTCTGTCTTATCCTCTCACCTCTCAGATGAGCACAGACTCCTTAAGGCCTATATCCCCTCCTGACTTTTCCTGTCCATATTCCACAGCAGGTCACCCATCGAAATCCCAAGCTGCCCAGCCCACACCTTCTTCTGTCCCAATGACCTCCACCCCAGCCCTGGCATTACAGCATTTGAAATTGTTCATCTGAGACAGTAATTCTCAACCCCATCTTTTTACTGAAATCGGCCCAGAAATTGAAAACAAAACTAAAACAAAACAAAAACAATGCCCGGAGTTTCTGATTCAATTGACTTGCATTGGTGTTTTATCTTTTTTCCCCCCATTAGAATTTTTAATGTTCCCCAAGTGAGTTATTGTGGAATCACTCTGAAAACTACTATTAAGAGGGAATAAACCTGCTGTTACTGGATGTCTGTCATTCTTAACGTATGACGGTGGAGGTTACTGTCTTGTATTCTGATATGTTGCCCTGTTGGGGCATGCCCCTTAGATGTGAGATCGCTACCCAAGGGAGGCGGCTAAATGTTCCCAGTGATCCCCACTGTCAATACCAGTGATCCCTGGTATTTACACCCCAGTAATCCGCTCCCGTCAGCCTGAGCTGGACCTATGACTTGCTTCTAACTAATAGCACATGAAAAAAAGTGATGGAATGTCACTCCCAAGGTTTGGTTACAAAGGACTGTGACTTCTATCTTGCTTGCCCTGTCAATATCTCTCTACTGTGCCCTCTCCCCTTCCAGAGCTCATGCTCCGAAGGAAGCAAGCTATTCTGTTGTGATTAACGCTGCGGAGAGAACCACATGACAGAGGATTAATGTGTCTGACCAGTAGCCAGCTGGGACCTGAGGCTGCCTGATTTCCCAACAGGAGTGAGCTCGAGAGTGAAATGCCCACAGTGGAGCCGCCTCCACTGCTGACACTGCAGCCTGTTGAGAAGACCCGGTGTCAGAGTTTCCCAGCTAGGCCATGCCCAGGCTCCTAGCCCAGAGAAATGGTGAGATAATAAATGTTTGTTGTTTTAAATTAAGTTTGGGGGTCATTTGTCACACAGCAGTAGATAGCTAATACACCCTGAGAGTAAAAAGGGGCCCATAGGCAGGGCGGTATTACTGGGAGGGCCAAGCCTTCTGTCTATTTTTGAGGAGTGGAGGGTCTAAGAGGGCGTTCCTGGGGAGGGTGTTCCTCAGGTGGTCCCAGCTCGCTCAGGTTAGGAAGGCAGATGATCAATAAGCAGAATCGTGCCCACTAGACCGGAGCTTCTCAATTATCGTGTGCACTCAGGTCACCTGGGGCAATCTTGTTAAAATGCCAATTCTGATTCAATAGGTCTGGTTGGGGCCAGGGAAGCCTCAAGCTCCTAGGTGATTTTAATACTGCTGGTCTGGGGCCACCTTTCAGGGGACAAGGGGCTATACTGCCCAGATTCATGTGTCTTTCTATGGTTACTTCTTTTAAAAGTCTTTTTGTTCTAAGCCTGACTTAGTGGTGCTTTAGGAAGCCAAGAAGTGGCCTTTGTCTTGGGGACAGAGTTTAGAAGGGGGAGCAGTGCCCCCTGGAGGCCATATGGTGGAGGCGGTGGTGAGGGAGAGACCTCCAAAGTGAATCTGAGATTTAGGTTTTGGTCACATCAAGTAACCATTTTTACTTATATAAATGGCTATGGAATTATTGGCAATGTCATGAAGTTCCGATAATCACGGGGTCAAAGCTGGCCCTGCTGAGAGGCCCTGCTCTCAGTGCCGGGCCCGGCGTCTCTGCTTTACTGGGCAGATTCCTCAGCAGCGCTGCTCAAACGTCTCCTCTTGAGTCCCGCTAACCACAGAGGAACACGAACCCGGGCGTGCAGCCCGAAGCAGCCAAGAGAAAAGTCTTTGAAGTCTTTTTGAAAAAAACCTTACGATTTCATGTGAATCAATGGAATGTGTTTATTATAATATAAAAATAATTTCCTCCCCAAATATATGTGTAAAACGCTGCCTCAGGAAGATGTGCTTGGTCTAATCGGTGGCCTGGGAATATGCCTCTCCCAGCTGAGCAGTGATGCGTACACGCAAACTCCCCGATGTTTAACTCTGAAATTCCCATCTCCTACTCAAGCCTCTCCCGTTTCCTCATCCTCACTGACCTCAGGATCTTGACCCTGCTCCGTCCACTTTTCCTGTTCTCATCGTCTGTCAGTTCTCTCTTGCTTTCACTCTGGCCTCTGCCAAGTGTGGGTCCAAGGTCAAGCATTCAGACTGCTCACAGTTACCGCCCCCCCATGCCCTGGACATGCCACTGCACTCTCCCTAAAGACCCCTCCCTAGTGGATAGACCTCACCCTCCTGAGTAGATTCCATTCTCTTGCATTGACCCCACTGTTACGGCTAAACCCCACCACCGGTTTTCTCCAAATGGGCTTTGGAGCATTTGGGGCATTTTCTCCAAATGCTCCAAACTCTCTGGGCAGCAGAGTTTTGCTGTGAGAAGGATAATGAATTATCCCCCTCAATTTCCTGTTATCCAGCCTCTCCCTGCTGCTCAACACTTCTTTAACTCACCGTTTCTTTAAACTTGCCTGGTGTTAAGTACGTCCTCAGGCTGTCCTCATCATGCAGATTTTGGTCCCATCCATCCTGTGTACTGACCCCATCTCCAGGGGAGGAGCTGGGAAATGCACATGGTGACACTCCTGGCCAGCAAGCTTGGCAAACACTGCTGTCACTCACCCAGGACGTCCTATTCTAGGCCCTCTGTGGCCACCGGGGAATTACCTAGCCTCCCCTCTCAGTCCTGCCTCCACCCCCAAAGCCCCCTGTCAGTTTTGATGTTGCCTCCTTTCCCACTTAGAAGATTAAGGCATCTGCTCTGTACTTCCTGGAATTTCTCACCCTCCACCTTCAAACGCTGCCCACACACCAGCTTTCCCCTGGCTCCCTGGCTGACTTCCCCCCCAGATCTGGACATTCCCCCCACCCCCACCACCATCTCCCTGGCACACTGCCCTTCCCTACCCCTTCATGTGCAGTCAGTGTTTCCCTCACCAAAGGATTTTTTAAAAATTATTTCAGCTGTTTGTCTTCTCTCTAAAAAACAAAACATCTTACAGTAAAGTAGCTTCTTCCTCAGGCTGCCACCCTCTCCCTGCCCTCACGTCACTTCCCCACCGACAGGCCTCATCTTCCCACCGGGCAGCCAGCGGCCCTGCTTTCCCCTTTTCCCTCACTGGCCCACGCAGCCCTGATGCCCCAGGGGCCCACTGTGGCATTGCCAAGTGGAGGTCATGGTCAGAAAGCCGAGGACGCCTGGCTGGCACTCAGTGGAGCAGCCGCACCAGTTGTGTTGTCCCTGACACTGCCGCTCTGACCCAGGCTACATCCTTGGTGTCTCTGCAAATAGGCCTGATTTTGTAGGAGTAAGTGCAGGAGCCCAGGGAGAGGGAAGAGGGTGGCTGCCATGTGTGGCTCTGGAGGACAGAGTGGCTGGAGCCAGCAGGTGGGTCTGTGCTCAGATTGTGGTTAGGTCCCCAGAGAAGACCCTCAGGAGCTGGGAAGATCTGGGCAAATTCCACCTCTGGACTGGGCCCAGCCTCCCCGGCCTGATTATTTTTATTCTCACTCACACCCACCAGCCTGGCTGGCATTTTTTTTTTTTTTTGTACTTTGAAAAAATAATTTATGGAGGGGAAATTCACATAACATAAACTTAACCATTTTAAAGTAATCATTTAGTGGCATTTAGTGCATTCACGATGTTGCACAAGCACCCCATTCCAGCTCGAGGTTTTCATCACCCCAGAAGCAAACTATGGTTAAGCAGGGTATCCCCTCATTCCCCCTCCCCCTGGCCGGACAACCACCAATCTGCTTTCCATCCCTACGATTTATCTATTCTGGCTTTTTTATATAAATGGAATCACATACTACGTGACCTTTGTGCCTGGCTTCCCTCACTTTAGCATGTTTTCGAGGTTCACCTTTGCTACAGCATGGATCAGCATGTGTTTCATCCTTTTTCCCCAAATTTTTTCATTGTGATAAAGTACACATAACATAAATTTAACATCTAAACTATTTTAAGTGTACTGTTGAGTGCTTATAAGTTAAATACATCATAGTGTTGTGTGAGCAGCACCACCATCCACCTCCAGAACTCTTTGATCTTGTAAAGCTGAGACTGTCCTCATTAAACACTAACTCCCCATCCTCTCTCCCAGCCCCCACACCCACCATCTACTTTCTGTCTCAATGAATTTGACTTCTCTACTAATAAGTATCTCATATAAATGAAATAATAGGTAATTCTTTCCCGGTGTTGCTCCCCGATACTGTGTGTCCTCAGACAGCCCTGCAGCTCGGTATTCTCACATTTTGCCTGATGATGAGACGCCTGTGGGGCTTGTAGGATGACTGATGGGCTGGAAATCTCATGTTTGTGGAGACTCCCAGCTGACTCTGCCCCCAAAGCAAAGGAAAAGCCAGGAGAACCCCGTGACTTCATCTTTCCCCTTCGCTCCTTCCCCTGAGAGACCTCTATTTCCATGTAGACTTTTACTGTGAAGGATGATGTGGGGCCGGGGGGCATTCTTGCATGAGTGCCTTATTACTCCACCCAGACTCTGAGGCTAAAACAGAAACAGAGGGAGGCTGGCCAAGCAATCCTTTCTCTGGTGTCATTTTGGTGACTTCAGAGAAGGCTGTTTGGACAGACAGACCTGCGTTTCTCCCATCCTTCCATAGGTATCTTACCAGAATCTTTGATCCATAGAGACCTGAGCAAAGAGAAGTTTAATCAAAGGAGAAGAAACTGGGACTCAGAAGATGGCTGAAAAATCCCATTAAACCACTCTCAGAGAGAGTGGTTCTCATTGTTGTCTTTCTGAGGTCTAACAGGGAGCATTATATTCCATGTGCTCTCTGCATCTCCCCTCTCTATGTCCCTTCCACAAGGCCCTGGCAATGTCCCTGCCATAGGGCCCTGGCTATGTCCCTGCCATAGGGCTCCTGGCTAATGTCCCTTCCACAAGGCCCTGGCAATGTCCCTGCCACAGGGCCCTGGCTATGTCCCTACCACTGGGCCCTGGCTATGTCCCTGCCACTGGGCTCCTGGCTATGTCCCTGCGATAGGGCTCCTGGCTATGTCCCTGCCACAGGGCCCTGGCTATGTCCCTGCCAAAGGGCCCTGGCTATGTTCCTGCCAGGAGGGCCCTGGCTATATCCCTGCCACAGGGCCCTGGCTATGTCCCTGGCACACGGCCCTGGCTATGTCCCTGCCACAGGGCCCTGGCTATGTCCCTTCCACTAGGCCCTGGCTATGTCCCTTTCACTAGGCCCTGGCTATATCTGTGCACTTTGCTACAACTTTAACTGTGAGTTACATAGAGTCCAGGATTGTGCATTATTCTTTTTTGTATTCATGATGTCTAGCACAATTCTTGTTCATATTAGAACTTGGTAAATGTTCATAAACCCCAGGAAGATATTTATTGATTTATTTTTGTGGAGCCCCTGTCTACCATAAGCAATTTTATTAGTAATGTCTTACAAGTCAGTAATATTGTAATAATTGTATGGTGCCAGGTAGGTACTGTAAATATTGGGAAAAACACTTTGTGAAGTAAATAATTATTTAACCACTGTGCTATACATCTGAAACTAATACAAATAATATTGAATGTCAACTGTAAGTGAACAATAAAAATTAAAAAAAAATTTTTTAAATGTATTACAAAATTCATGGGCCCCTGTGAAGCATAGTGATTGACTGAGTGATTGATTTAGAGTTATGAGTAGAGAAGATACACTTACAAATTTATTTATTGTCCTGTCTTTATAAAGATTCTTCTTAGTGTCCAGGTACCATTTCTTTCTGTTCAGGTCCAACAACCATCTCTTTTGTTCAAAATCTTGGCTAATTGTATCTCTCATGCAGCATGATTATTACTCATGATTCCATGGTTCTTCTGGGCTTGTTTGTATTGAAACAATATAGATCGTCTTGCCTCCTCAGCTTCCTAATGCCATGGATTTAATGGTGGTCATATC